CGGAAAACTTAATATAGTGGCCACCAGGGGCTTCCATAGAAGGAACACTAGGAGGTGCCCACCGTCCACAAACAGCATTGGCCCGGAAAGGAGGGGGGAGGTGTTGGGGAGGAATTCTTCGAGAGAAAGTCGGAGCGTGGAGGCGCGGCGCGGGGCGAGAGCGACCCCTGCGAGCGCGAGGCCTGCCTGGGGGATCCCGGGCCGAGTCCCGCGGCGGGGGCGCGGGGTCTCCCCGTCGGGGTCAGGGGGAGCCTGGGGGACGGACGGCTGCTCCTTCACCCGCACCCGCAGCCAACCCCGCAGACAGCACTGCGCCTGCCCCGGCGGCGGCCAGCTCAGCGGAGCCGGGGGAGCCCGGGGTGCGGGGTGCCGGGCGCCCGTCCGCTGACCGCGCCCTCGCCCCTGCCGTACCGGGTGGTCTGGGGTCGCTAGTCGCGCCCCTCAGAGGAGTCCCATCGCCTAACGGTCTCCCGATCTTCCCACGCGAGCTCTCCAATCATTTGTATGGTATCTGAGCCCAACAGAAATGAGGCAGAAGCCTAGGCTCAAGCCATACAAACGGCGAATTAAATTGAAGGCTGTTTTGACTACACAATGAAAGCTCCTGGACTTTGGATGGGGGAAAGCTGATGCTGTTTAGCTTTGTTTTTTTAGTTACCGTTTGAATATATATATTTAAAAACATTACCATACCTGAGGCCACTTAACTCAACAAATCAGAACTGTCTTGAAGAATACCCTTACTTTTGGAGGGAAGCTGTTGGTTTTAAATATAAAATAAAGAACTGATGTGTATTGTGCCATCTTCATTCTTGTTGTTCTACTTGTCTGTTACACTGTCAGTGTCACGTGTGTGTGAGAGAGTACACTGGACACCAGGGGTCTGGAACTCAACTTCCAGAATCCAGAGCTGTGGAGCCAGTGACTCAGCCACTGAGGACCCGTTTTCCATCTGATGGTCTCCCGCTCCCAATGGCAGGTTGACGGTGGTTTGCACCCTGCCCTTTTCCCTCAAACAGCTGTGTCTAAGCTCCAAGAAGTCAGAGCTACTTAGTATTTAGCCCAGTTCCTGGTACATAGTAGGGCCTCAATCAATGTTTATTAAATGGAGAGAGGAATTTATTATTGTGCGGCGGGGAGGCCAAGATAGAAATAAACAAATGTAAAGTAGCTCATTGGCCACTAAAGGAGATGATAAAGCAAGCAGCACATCTGGAAATGAAACGAATGCACATGGGAGGCCGAAAGGAGAGAGCCGAGGAGTTGGTAAGGAAGGATCAGAGGGTGTGGTCATGGAGATGGGTTCATGCAGGAGGAAGTTTTGTGATTTTGTTACTTGAGCCCAATCTTACATCTTATACTTTGGCATGATCCTGCTGGACACAGAGCCTCGAAGCAATAGGCTTCCACTATGGGCCTCTGAGGAATGCCAGCATGATCCACCGCCAAAGGTCAGTGACTTGACCTTGACAGTTCCCTTTTTGTTCTTACACATCTCACTAGTGACAACAACCAAGCTGTCAGTTGTGTACATTTAACTATCTGACTTCAAGACCAGTAACAATCTGACCATTACATCTGTCCAGTCTGACTTCTACAGCTTCTGAGTTTATATAATTTCCAGGGCCTTTGCTGACAGTGTCTTTCTGTTTAATTCTTACTGTTGTCTTTGTCCTCCATTTAGTGGCAGGAACCTCGTATCTTACATATTTGGGAAACAAGGAATAGCAGCTCAGATTTGCTACTAGTACAGCTTCCTGTCTAACAAGTGAGCCCTTTTTCAGTTGTTATATCCTTTTTTTCATGCCTGATAGCGATTCAAGTGTCTATGCCCATTAAAAGCTGTTTTCTGATGGAGAATAGCTTCAGAGTAATACAATGACCATCTTTTATGCAAGAATAGCATTAGGGTAGCAAAACAATCTTTCTTAAAATGTAACTGCTGGAACTGAGCATAAACATACCATATGACCCATCAATTTCACTCCCAGGTGAATACTCATCAAAAATTGATTACTTTATGCACACCAAAAGACATGGAGAAATATTTGTAGTTGGCCCCAAACTAGAAAGTATTCACATGTCCATCAACACTGGTATGGATTTTGTGTGTGTGTATTGTACATTCATATAGTTGAATGCTCTAGAGCAAGAAAATTACTGAAGTGCAGCTACATGCAATCATTTGAGTAAATTTCACAAGCAGAACATTGAGTTAAGGAAGGCAAACACAAAAGAACCAACTGTATTATTATATTTTAAAAATCAAAATGACACATATTTCAGAAATATAGTGGGTTTTTTGGGTAGAAGATAGTGACTGAAAGGGAGAAAGGAGGGTTCTGGAGTTCCGTTCATGTTCTGTTTCTTGATCTAGGTACCAATTAGACAGGTGTATTCACTCTGGGGAAACTCACAATCCCATTTCATGTATGTTATAAGTCAATAAAAAGCTTATATAAAATAAAAAAATAGAATTTCTTCCTAGTGCTCTTATACTAATGTGTTATTTACTAGAGGACTTGCTCAGTTCTGAACAGTACAACTTAGAAGGAATATATAGAACTTGTGAAGAGTTGAGATAAGAGTGAAAAATTGAAGAGTTGGAAACTCATGGAAAAGGTAGATAATCTTGTTATAGCTTTGAAATATTTAACCAAGGAGCACCTTAATAAAAGTCTTTTGGTACCTAAAAACCCCTAAGAAGACGCTCGTTAGCTATTTTCCTTATTTATTAAGGAAAAGCCAAAAGGAACGTCATATTTTAAGCAACTACCTAATGTCTTATCTTCTTTGAGTTGTAGTACATTCTCCTGTAATGTCCATATGGCTAGACCCAGTAGGTACCTAATAGTAAGGCCTAGTGCAACCAGTATATACCCTTGTCTCTGGCTCTAACCCCAAACTGTCAGGTGTTGGATGAGAAATTGCTTTAAGGGCAGATAACCAAACAGAAGGGCAGCCTTCAGAACAGATGGACAGCTCAGCACCAAGAGGAGAAATCAAGCATAGCATAAGGTAAGTCAGTGTACATTCTGCATGAAGCTTAGTGGGATGGCAAACCAGTATCACTTCTTGCCAACTCCAATTGATTGGTATTGGTTACCCAGAACACTGTGATGAGCAAAACTTTCACTTCGGGTCCAGAATTAATCGGAAAATGCCTTGGTGGATGAATATATCTGCTAAGAGCAGGCTATTAGACTGAGCTGAGCTGCATTGTTGAGCCACCATAGTTCCTTTTTTATTTTTTATTTATTTATTTTTTTTGCAACTCTTCAATTAGAGAAGACAGTGCAAATAATTGCAGGAACAGATAAATTAAAAATATTTAAATTTTCTGTAGTATACATGTGAACATGTTGTATTTACCCTGTAAAAATAGAAAATAATTTAGAGATAGCTAAATCTGAAAAATTTTTAACCTTTTAAAGGTTTTTTTTTTTTGTGGGGTGGGGAGTCTTTAGTGAAAAATGTCAAAAGAAGTCTTTAGCTACAAATGGCAAAAATTTACCTATCTTTTAATCAAGAAAGGGGTTTAACAACATCCCTTCCCTTCTTGGGTTAATTGGTTTCAATCAACCTATATACAGACATTAATATTAATTACTTTTACTCTTTCCAAATAATTATATTTGTTTTTCCAAAGACTTGGAGTTTAAAAAGTCATCTCAGGCTTGGACAGAAATAACTGACTATCCAGAGCCAGTGGAGACTTGAGCCGAGTCTGCAGTGAGCCAGTTACAAACTGTGCCTTTACCAGCTGGTAACCAACAGGACCCAGCTCTCATTGGATACTGCAGGCTAATTAAGTGTTGCTTTATGCTAATGTTGACTTTTAAGTTTGATTAAAATATATTATTTCAAATTTACAATACAATGATATAATACATCTAAGCAATACTGAAATTTATTACACTTAAAAGTTATATCTTGTCCACAGCAAAGTAGTCATTCTTAAGGCAAAGTGATAAATCAAGTGATTTAGATCACTATGCAATGTTTTTTTTTCTGTTAAAATAAATCAGCTTGCCTCAAACACTAGAGATTGATCTAAAAACGAAAAGTCTGAAGTATGGGTTTTCATAAATTCCTTGGCAACTGAAGCATATCAAAACTCGTCTGCACTTTAGAAATGATTGTAATTTTTTCTTATGTTCAGGAACCTGTAAACCTCAGACCACCACATCAAGGGGAATGAAGTGAACCTTTCCCTGATGATAAGACTTTTTTAAAAACCACTAAGTGAGCTACTCTAACATCATCATGCAGGTGCACAGGTCTCCTCGAACAAATTATTCCAGAATAGGGAGGTCTGTTCCTTCACCCTTGCAGTGCTAGACAAGGAAACCATGTCTGATTGGGATTTTACTGTGTGTGGTATTTGTTTCAGGGCATATGCTGTGATCAAAATCTATGGAGCCTGCGTTCTATATCTAGAATTAACCATTGAACTCTTGGCTATAGCTAAATATATTACATGGACTTACTTATTAAGGAACTGAGCAAGTCCTCTAGTGCCTACCTATGTGCCCGTGAAGAATTTGTCCATAAAGTGATTTTGAAGTAAAGAGGAAGACTGAGCAATGATAAAACCAATATTTGAAATTCGAGATCTTTATCCAAACCAGGGGCTCTCTCAGACTGAAAATAAACCAAATGAAGAAGGAGGAGCTAAACATTAGAGTAATTCGTCATTTTAAGTCTTTTGCAAGTGGAAACAAATGAGAGATGAATTTCAGAAAACACTGTGAATGTGCTTTTGTTCTTATTTCCAGTCTGGAGATGAAAATTAAAAGTTCTTATAATCCTCTCTGATAATTATGAAGGACTGATATGCATTCTGCTGGAAGAGGCAACGAGGCAGAGATGTGAAACAAAGGTTTGGGACAGAGGTCTTAAAGGTGATAACTGACCACTACGCGGCTTTATATTGAAATTGATTTGGGCTTTTATGTGAAATTAGTAAAATACCATACTTTGAAAGATAGTTTACCAGTACATATGCTATAAGTGGGTTATGTTAGAGTAAAAATTATATAGCATTTACATAATCATGGGAACTTGCAGGTACAGCTATAGAAATATTGTGTTATGTTTAAGAGCACTTCAGATGTTGGAAGCTCATGTTGTATACTTATTTATATATTTGCTTTTATAAAATATCAATATTTGAGTGTCATCCTTAGAACCTTCCTTATCGTTGTTAAAGTCCTGGTTTTAAGGGAAGGAGAATTTAAATAATTTGAAGACAGAGGTTTGTGAAAATTAGTCTATAGAGCAAAGTTACTGAATTCTATTTTCCAACTAAGTTTTACCTTGAAATTTGGATAGGACATCATAAAATGTTAGGTTGAATGGGACCATGGAGATAACTGAGCCTGAGGCCTGCATCTTAGAGCACAGGAAAGTGAATGAATGGTCCTTCCCAGGAGACAGTCCTGACCTGGCTATTGTCTGCTCTCCCTCCCTTCCTGGCACTCACTCCCAATGGGACTCTGCTTCAGTGGTTCTCAACCTTCTGGCCCTTTAAATACAGTTCCTCATGTTGTGACCCAACCATAAAATTATTTCTGTTGCTACTTCATAACTGTAATGTTGTTACTTTTATGAATCGTAATGTAAATATCTGATATGCAGGATGGTTTTAGGCGACCCCTGTGAAAGGGTCGTTCGACCGCCAAAGGGGTCGAGACCCACAGGTTGAGAACCGCTGGCTTAGATAGAACTTCTTCCAAAATGCTCACACCATTCCAAGGCTGGTTTAGTCTACCCTGCTACCTGCTTTAACAAATTACTTTGAACTTCCCCATCATAGCACCACCACTATAATGTTCTCTACTTGTTTGTATTGGCCAACTAGACTGTAAGCAGCAGGAAGATAGAGATTGTGTTTTGCCTTTTAACAAATACAGACAGCACCTGTTCTACAGTAAGAAGTCACATATTTTTTGACTGAGAGACAAATATTTGTTTTTATAAAATGACTGAGAATCCATGTGAATTTAACATGGGTATAAGTTCTTTCTTCAAAAGGATAAAGCGATGCATTGAATTATTGTTTAAAATTCAAAACACAAGCCAATAAACTGCTAAGTTAAAATGATGGTCCTGAAAAAAATTTTTTTCAATAGTTTCAGCTCATTGGAAATATTTTTAATTTATTATATTGATAACTTTGAGGACATACTAGTGGATCTGAGTTGACTGAACTCACTCCTAAAAGGTTGCCGTCTGAAACTTTCTTCTCTTATTTTAAAGAATCCACAAAGAGGTTATTTGCTGTTGTGATCATGTGTTTTTGTTGCCGATTCTGGTACATGCTCTTTTATGGGTCATGCATTTCTCAAAGAACTGCTCTTTGTTTTGTATGACAACAAAGTACTCCGAATCCAGTTCCTTGCTACTGCATGTACTTGACTTAGCTCCTTGTCCTTGAACGCAGTTCACAACTTCACTGCCAGCTAGAAACTTATAGCCTAGTTCACAGGAATAGCTGGAGTCAAGTATTTTCGGCGTCAACACTTTCAAGGTGTCCTGACAGCTGCACAAAATCTGCTGAGCTGTATTTCATTCCTCATGGGATTATTGACATTTTTGCAGTTTTTCTGACTTTTATCTTTGCCAATGACCTACTCATTATCATTGGGCTGTTATTCTGTTTTTGTTTTCGAAAGTGAAACTTGCACGAGGAAGTTACCAATGACTTGAAGCTGGAGACGTGAAACTTGGCAGCATTCCTTCCTGTCTATTAAGGTCCCTCTTGGCTTTTTCAGGGGTCTGGGAGCGGGTGTGCCCACACCGTCCTCTAGTGGCTGTCCTTTCTCTCAGTGCGTGGATTTTATGCCCAGGAGTTCTTATTTTTTAAGATGAAGGATATTTTGCCCAGTGTGCATGTGTTTTCTAACAGTCAAGTTAAATGTAAGTCTTTGAATATACATTCTATGACCCTGAACCATTCTTAGGGGAAATATAAAAAATCAAAGTAAGTACTCAGGTTTCTGAAAAGTCTTTAGGTGTATGTCAATTAACCAATAATATGTATCAAGTATAAAAATATGCCAGGTACTGTTGTCAGTGCCTGATATACATTCATGAACAAAACAGACAAAGATCCCTGCCCTCATGGAGCATACATTCTAGTATGAGGGCTATGCCAAAGAACGTGTTTCTCCTTAGGATAACATTCAAACCAGGCTACTGTACACGTGTGATATTTCAGTAACCGTGCTATTATGAACTACATTATTGATACCTGTTCTTAACATCTACAATGAAATGTGGTTGACATTTGTCTTATCATCTCTAATCTGCCTTCCGGGCAAGTTGCAGGTGACTTGAAATCCGTCACTTGCATAGCTGGTACTAGCCCCAAGCTGGTACTCACCTTACAAATGCATTACTTGACTTCCATGAACTAACATTTCTCACTCCAGCGTGAGTGGAATTTTAAGTGGCCTAAAACCCAGAGAAAATTGATAATGATTATTGTCACTGAAATAATATCTTAGATGCTATAGCACTAAAGGATTTTTATAGATATTTAGTCATATGATTCCTACAACACGTCAGCAGGTTGGATACAAATACTACTTCATCCCAGTTTTATCCAGGAAAAACTGAACTCCGAGGAGGTAATGTCGTTTTCCCGAGGTCTCATACCTACTGTGTGGCGACACCTTGCTTGTATCTAGTAGGATGAACAAGGAAAGAAAACAATACAAGGCAAAAATCAAACTGTGTTATTACTCTTCTTGCTCTTGGTGGTGGGTAAAGTGAGGAGAAGGACTGCATTAGAGTAGTTGACATTCCTGAAATAAGAAGGTAATAAAAACTATGTTCAATTTGTGTCAAATTTTCATTCTGCCTGATTTTGGTCCCCCAATTTATATGTCTTTATGGTCAATTAATATTCATTTTTCCACATGTGTTCAATACGATCCACAGAGGATATACAACTTGTTCTGGTCCAGGTTTGGGATTTGAGCATACTGGAACTCTCCTATTCAAATGCATAGTTCCAATTCTGGAATTCTGATCTATCTCAATTACCTTATATAATAACTGTTGTATTTAGATTTTCTCTCCTATAATTAAAGTATTTCTAATATCTAAGTTGTGACCTTTAAAATTTCATATTAAAACTTTTATTTTGATATAATTTTATACTTACAGAAAAATTGTAAGAATAGTACAAAGAACTCCACATACCCTTCCAGCACATTCTTCAATTGGTAACATCTCACCCCATCTGCTTTATCATCTATCCTCTCTTTTTCTATATATAGCTGTGTATACATTTTTTGAGCCATTTGAGAATAATTTAATAGAAATCATGCCTCTTTACCCAAACATTTTTATTTTGTATTTCCTAAGACTTTTCCGTATATATTCATGGTAAAATGGTCTAAGTTAGGAAATTTAACATAGATACAATACTATTATTTAATTCAGAGTCTATATTAAAATTTTGTCACTTGTTTCAATAACCGTCTCTTACACGGTTTATATTTTTCTGGTTCAGGCTTCAGGCCAGAATCATGCATCACCTTTAGTTTTTATGTCTAAGTTTCTTTTAACCCAGAACAGTTCCTTAACTTTTTTCTTTTTTTGTCTTTCTTGATTTTGACAGTTTGTGAGACTATAGGCAAGTTGTTCTGATGAATGTCCTTCAGTTGGGGTTTGCTGATGATTTTTCGTGATTAGATTCAGGTTATGCATTTTGGACAGGAACACACACAAAATTGACATTGCATCCTTCCTAGGATATCAAGAGGCACATGGTTTATCCCATTATTGTTATTTACTTTTATTATTTGGTTAAGATAGTATTTGCTAGATTTAATTCACTGTAAAGTCATAATTTTCTCTTGGTGATTAAGAAATAATTTGGAGGGAATGTTGGAGACTATAAATAGCTTCTTCTTCATCAAACTTTAACCCATTCATTTTATTTTATTTCTTTTTTCTTATTTATTTTATTTTTTGTTTTATAGTTTTAGCATGCATTAATGACTTTGCTGGATTAGCTATGATTATATCATAGATGCAAAATCATCATTTCGTAATTCCATCATTCTTTCAGTATTTATTAGTAGGAATCTGCCATAAGGAAAAGTGTTCTCTTCTCCTTTACTGTTTTTATTTGTTTTATTTGAACAGTTGCACTCATAGTTTATTATTTTATTCTATGAATATCTTGCTCCTATTATTATTTTGATTAAAGTTATTTATGGCAATGGAGAAACTGAGTCTAAAGTTTATATAGAGGGGCAAAAGACCCAGACTAGCTGGCGTGGCTCAGTGGTTGAGCATCGACCTATGAACCAGGAGATCACGGTTCAATTCCTGGTCAGGGCACATGCTTGGGTTGCGGGCTCGATCCCCAGTAGGGGGCGTGCAAGAGGCAGTTAATCAATGATTCTCTCTCATCATTGATGTTTCTGTCTGTCCCTTCCCCTCCCTTCCTCCTCTGAAATCAATAAAAAAATATATTTTTTAAAAAGGCCCAGACTAGCCAGTACAATACTGAATGAGAAGAATAAAGTTGGAGGACTGACAATACTTGACCATAAGACTTACGATAAAGCTACGGCATCAAGATACTGTGGTATTGGTGAAAGAATAGACAAACCAATGGAAGAGAATAGAGATCCTAGACATAGATCCATATAAATATAGTCAACTGATTATTGACAAAGGATCAAAGGTCAATGGAGCAACAATGGGATACTTTTTCAATAAATGGTGCTGGAATAATAGGACATCCACATACCAAAAAATGAATATAGATACAGATCTTACATGTTCACAAAAATTAACTCAAAATGAAACATACACCTAAATGTGAGATACAAAATTACAAAACTCCTAGAAGATAACATGGGAGAAAACCTAAATGACTTTGGACATGGTGATGACTTTTTAGATATAGCACCAAAGACATGATCCATGAAATACAGGGTGGGGCAAAAGTAGGTTTACAGTTGTTCATATTGAAAAAAATACAATAATAAATAAATAATACAAGAATAAACTCTATTTCATGTACTATAACTGCAAACCTACTTTTGCCTCACCCTGTATATAATTTGCTAAGCTAGAATTCATTAATATTAAAACCTTCTGCTCTGCCAAAGTCAAGAGAATGAAAAGATAAGCCACAGATTGGGGAAAAATATTTGCAAAAGACACATTTAATAAAGGACTGTTATCCAAACTATACCAATAACTCAAAATTCAACAAAAAGAAAGCAAACTACCCAAATTAAAAGATGGGTCAAAGAGCTTTAGAACTGAAGATATCTAGATGGCAAATAAACATGTGAAAAGATGCCCCACATCATATGTCATTAGGGAATCACACATTAAGATGAGATACTACTCCACACACATTAGTATGGTCAACATCCAAAACACACCACCCAAATCCACACCACCAAATAATGGTGAGGATGTGGAGCAATGGGAACTCTCATTCATTGCTGGTCAGAATGCAAATGGAACAACCACTTTGGAAGATAATTTGGCAGCTTATTGCAAAACTAAACATACTCTTGCCATACAATCCAGCGATCACACTGCTTGGTATTTACCCAACGGTTTTTTGCACAAAAACCCGCACATGGGAATTTATAGTTTTATTAATAATTACTAAAACTTGGAAGCAACCAATATGTCCTTCAGCAGGTGAATAAGTAAACTGTGGTACATCTGGACAATAGAATAGTATTGAGTGCTAAAACGTAATTAGTTATTAAGCTATGAAAAGACATGGAGAAAAGTTAAATGCATACTGCTAAGTGAAAGAAGAGAGTGTACTGTATGATTCCAACTATGTGACATTCTGGAAAAGACAAAACTATGGAGACAGTAAAGAGATAAGTGGTGCCATGAGTTTGGTGGGGGAAGGATGAATAGGCAGAGCACAGAGGATTTCAAGGCAGTGAAAGAATACTATAATGATGGACACATATCATTATACATTTGTCACAACTCCTGGACTGTACAACACTAAGAGTTAACCCATGTAAACTATGGATTTTGGGTGATGATGTGTCAATGTAGGTTCATCAATTGTGACAAATGTACCCCCCTGGTAGGGGATGGGGAAGCTATGCAAGTGTGTATCCTCTTATTTGCTGTGAACTTAAAACTGCTCTTAAAAATAGTCTTAAAAAGAAAAAGGTGCTCCAGTGCTGAAACCAGATATTTTCCAGGAATTATGGGTCATATTAATGGTAGATTGAATTGAGAAACTAAAGATCTAGACACTAGGTGTGCTCAACTGTCTGTGGTGTATCCTTGATGCTAGGCCCCTTTAGTGGACAGAACTAAGATGAAACACACACACACACACACACACACACACACACACACACACACAGCTATGTGTTCATACCAATAACTGCAATTTCAATTCATACTATAAGATTCATTCTAATCTTCCCTGTTTTCATGTCTATAGCTCCATTCTTTAAAACAGAAACACCTAGCTTTCATTATTGTCAATGTATGTGATTATTTGCTCAATCTTACAATATATTAGTCTAATCCCTACCACTGGGGAAATCAGTCTTTGTAACTGAAATTCAATGTTTGTTTATGTTTGTTTTTCTCTTTAGACCTTAATTATATAGCCAAAGAACTGTATTTGAAAGTTACTTAGTTTTAAAAAATATATATATTATTATTACGTTCTGTGTGGTTATGTTATTTATTTGAATTCAGTTAGGTTCATTTGTTTCTGGCCCCATTCCATTTCCCCCTCATTCTTGTTTATTTTATTCTACTTAAAAAAATTATAACCTTTCCATTTCTTGAAAAGTCAAAACTGTATAAAAAGTTGTTCTCAAAGAAGTGTCACTTTCCTTTTTCTTCTCACGTTCACCCAGGTAGTCAATTAACCAATTAGTTTCTGGTTTATCCATTTATGTTTATTTTTGGGAAAAAATGAACACACACAGGTAGAAGTTTATTACTTTCCTTCTTTCTTATAGAAAAGGTAACACACTGTACATAAAGTATGCTAAAGCTTTGCTCTTTTCACTTAATAATATATCCTGGAAATGCTCCATATTAGTTTAGAGCCATCGTTGTCAATTTTTCCCGGCTGTATAATGCTCCACTGTGTGAAAATATCATAACATACTCAATCAGTTTCCTATGCAAGGAAATTAATGTTGTTGCCAATATTTTGTAATTACAAATAAAAACAATGTGAGCCAGTGTACTTTTATTTATGGGGGTAAAAGTCATGACTTTTAAATCAGCTTTTTCTTTTCCTTAAGTTAAACACATGTAGAAGTATCAAAAACCATCTTTTTTCATGTGTAAAACAAAAATTCACGGCAATATGCTTGCTGAAAAGCTAGCAGGAAATTCTATGGTCTGGAAAACTGTAACTACATTTGTGGAAGTAGAAATTGTACCACATATTTGTAGAACAGCAAGGCAAGTGTGGTCTCTAGGAAGTATAGGTAGAGTTGATTAGATTGCAGTGTATACTTAAAAGTTGAATAATGCACTCTTGTAAAACACTCTTCAAAATTATTTAACTTCCCATGATATCATCACAGCATGTGCAAAAAAATCTTTAGCGTTATCTTTTCCTGTCACATGACTAGTGCAAACAAAAGAAATCCTTATCTTTTTGTTTCTATTCTGGCCCTTTATAAAATGGCATTAAGCACCATTCAAAACTTACACATTACAGGTTTGGTTGGGGGAAAAAATATTTATTTTGTATTTCAAATGAATTGCATTTGTTAAATTATAAAGCAGATTTCCCCCCAACAACTGGAGGTGTCTAGCATCTTGTATGCATGGAAAATTTGATAGTTTTAAAAACACTTTCCTAAATAGTTCACATTTAAATCTCACAGCAATCCTAGATGTAGTGAACTAGGCAGGAGTTATATTGTTCTTATTGTACAAAAGAGACAACAGGCCTTCAGAGAGCTTAAGGTCATTGCCCTGGGATGTAGGACTAAACCCTGAACTAGAATCCGGGAGAATTTTTTCCCCCTTATAATGTGGAATGTGCCTATCTCATAGGATTATTGTGGTGATCAAATACTAGTAAGACAATGCACTGGAAAATGCCAACTCTGCACAAAGAGAAGGTAGTTCTATTATTAAAGCATTTGGGTTTTGGTGACTATGTATAAAATGTCCCCATATTTTTGCATATGTAAATAATATAAAAGACTTAAGCAGTCTTAGAGCTATAACTCGCACAGCAAGACTCAAAGTGTGAGGAAATGTTTTATAGAATTAAAATATTTCATTTTGTACCAAACTAGTACTCAAGGAACAGGTGACGATGTTATATATCCATCGTGGAATAATTAATAGTATTATATGTTGTGCAGAACCTAGACCTTAAAACAAACCTCATTAAAAGGTACTTGATCTTTGTTTTAAACCTTTAAGTATCTCTTCTTTAAAAGTGTTCGATGTATGTACTGGCTATTTTAGTTATCCCCCTATGAGATTCACACAACTTTGATCTAACTTTCTTTGATTTAACACTGCAATTAAGAAGATTTGGTTCAAAGTAAAAGCTCATTGGTTGGTGTTTTACACTGATGTGATAATGTTTACACAGATGTCCTTTGAAATCTTGATTATGGTGGATTTGGGGGTCCTACCACAAGACAGACTGCTGTTGTTTGAAAGGTAAAATAATATGACATTTACCTGGTACAACCTTTAAAACAGACTTGGCAGTATACATTTCTAAAGTGATTTATCTGTTTATTGTTTTTAGCCAGTGTTTTTGTTTTATTTCATATCTATCAACAGTAAATCACTTGTTTTAAGGACTCTTTTATAACTTGGTGGCACAAGGGTCAGTACTTAGGGCCATAGTGATGAAAAGGTGTAACTTTACCTACTTGAAAGCACCTGCCAATTAATTAGCAAAAAGCCCCCAACCCTTTAGACCAAATAAAACAAAGCGATCCCATCCACTTGCGCTCCCCGGTTTAGGCTTTTGCTGAAAAGACTATGAAACTAGACTGGAAAACTAATCTTTAGTGATTCCCTGAAACTTTTTGCTCAGGGGAAGCATAAATCTCCCAAAAGATGGATTCTCAATGCTTCTACCACTGAAAAAAATAGTAATGGAAACATCTTGTGGTCCAAACCTAGAGTTTATAAGTTCAAATGGAGATGTATCCAACTCCTTCACTTCAATGATTTTTAATTTAATAAATACATACAGGCATTCTTTCATTTTGTTTTGCCAGTAACTTTTCATATCTCAAAAACACGTCAAGAATCAACACTGTTTTTGTAATTAAAAGCAAACCAAAAATCTAACCCTAAAGAAAACGCAACCAAGAAGAAAGGGGTGTGCTCTTGGGTTGGGAAGGGACCCGGAGGCGACTCATCACTTATGACACTATTACAGATACTCGTTTTCTATTCGTGGCAAATATAACGATGAACGCTACCTCTTTCCCGCCTACTTGGATTTACTCATAACCCCTAGACTCAGGATTCATTATCTTATTATATTATATTGATTAACAGTTCATGACCTTAGCACACAATGTAAAACTTCCAGGTAGCTATAAGACAATCTTGGTTATATCATGTGCTGAGTAACGATTCACATTAAAGAGGGCCTGGGAAGGGGGAGCCCGCGTGTTTCTAACCTAACCCTGATTATGTAAAGAAAATCCCCCATCTAAATGATAAAAGAAAAGAGTAATGCTTGTACATTTTATTAGTGTTTTAAAATTAGCGAGTTAAACTGTCAAAGCTTTGATTCTCCTTTCATGTGTGTCTGGGCAGGTCTAAGCCTCAGGTAACGCCCTTTTTCCCTTTTCCCTCTCTTACCTTTCTTTGCACCTGTCCACTGCAGGCTCTCCCAGCAGCTCCGGAGGAGTCCAATTCTCCTCCTCTCCTCTCCTTTCCCTCTGCTCCCCCTCCCCCTTCCCCTCCGGGCCTCCCCTCCCGCCCCACTTTCCCTTCTCCTATATACCTGCCAAAGCT